CATTAGTGAGACAGGAGAAGGCCTTCTTAAAGAGGATTTCTGGTTATGAGCTCTGTTCCAGCATCTCTGAGATCAAGAGATGGATGGATGGATGCTGAACACCCACAAGGAAGCATTGAAACCCTCTTCACTGACATCCCTCACTCCAGCCCCCACTAGGCCTGACGGCTAAAGTAAAGGACAGCTTCTTGTATATAACTTCATATTAAGCATGAGTAATCACCATAAATATTATAATAATATTACATACTCTAACACGGGATCCATGTGCAGTTCTAGCAAGAAAAGTTGTGTCGACTTTTCTCCTGTACGTGGATGTGTGCCTGCCATCCCCCCGCCAGCCAGCCACCCATTCTCTGGGGAGGCAACACTGAGGATGCTTTCAAAGCATAAACATCAGCCTGGAGTTTCACCTCCACCCTCTCCCAGGTATATGCAGTACTACCAGCTGGTAGCCTTCGGGCAAACGGTTTAATGTCTTGGCTATGGTTTCCTCACCTGTGAAATGAAAGCAATAATAGTGCCTCTTATTAGCATGGTCCAGTGGTCGGCAAACTCATCAGTCAGCAGAGCCAAATATCAACAGGACAACAATTGACATTTCTTTGGAGAGCCACATTTTTTAAACTTAAACTTCTTCTAGCGCCACTTCTTCAAAGTAGACTCACCCATGCCGAAGCTGGTTTGGCTCAGTGGATAGAGCATTAGCCTGCGGACTGAAAAAACCCAGGTTCGATTCCCGTCAAGGGCATGTGCCTTGGTTGTGGGCACATCCCCAGTAGGGACTGTGCAAGAGGCAGCTGATCGATGATTCTCTCTCATTGATGTTTCTAACTCTCTATCCCTTCTCCCTTCTTCTCTGTAAAAAAAATCAATAAAATATATATTTTTTAAAACAGAATCACCCAGGCAGTGGTATTTTGTGGAAGAGCTACACTCCAGGGGCCAAAGAGCCGCATGTGGCTCTCGAGCTGCGGCTTGCCGACCACTGGCCTACTCACAATGACAAAACGATTCCATGAATGAGTGCAAAAAACATAAGCTCTCAAGAGTTCATCCTCACAATGACGATAATTATAGTCCGTACCCATTCACTGATGTGCAGCTGTGTGCCAGCCTCCGGACCAGGCAGCAGGTAGCGTTAGCCTTCCGATGTTGCCAGCATCCTTTGCGGGGCATTGGACTCTCCCGGCAACGCCGCCAGGACAGGCCTCCCTTCCAGCCGAGGATGCTGGTAGGCCCAAACCCTGGAGCCACTTACGGCATGAAAACCTCCCTCCCAGAGCCATGTTTAAACAATTACGAGCATTAGGTTGCAGGTACCCATGACGGGAGGAGGCCGGCCCAGCCTGGTGCTCCTCTTGCAGAGATGTCTTTTGTGTGGGTTTTGGGTTTCAGCTGGGCCACGCAAAGCCGGAGAGAGGGAGTCGAAAAACGGGTTTTCACAAGCTCGCCCTGTCACAGGCCAGGCAGGGGTTCCCGCTGACATCCCCACAGCGAGATTAAACAGCGTGCTTCGTCAGGCCCTAAACGCTAACACAGCTCCGACGTCAGGGGGACGCTGATTAAAACTGATGCCAATAATTTATGAAACACAATATGGTCTTCAGATGCTCTTTTTGAAAGAAGAAGAAAAAAAAAAAAACAGGGAGGGAGAAAAAAAAGGGCCTAGCAACCCAGGTGGTTTAAAACTGTTCCTGCATTTCCCCTTGAATGTACACTCTCCCCCCCCCCCAACACACACACACACACACACACACACACACACACCATGCATGGATGCTTCTTGACACCATGAATGTAAACGCACATGTGTAGAAAAGCATGTGAACACTGCTGATACATATGGGCGGAAGAGAGTCTTTAGCTATTCCATGGAGAGCTGTCGAGGCTCTGTAACGTTAGACACAGCCTTGTCTTTCATATTGTTTGGAGGGCGTGTGTTTTTCCGGAAGAAACCCAAAATGGCATTTAAAATAAAATGGAGTTTTACAAAAGTTCCCGTGGACTCCATAGAGAACTCAACCTTGAAACAATGCGGAAAAGAAAGCTTGGCCAACGGAAACCTACAGGACACATGCATTTCTTCGAGAAGGACTGTGGCCCTATCCAGCAGAACCATGTAGAGAAATAACACCAAAAGTGTTTTGTTTTTTTAGAGGTTTGGGGGGGCGGGGGGGAATCACCTGGGGAAGGGTGCCTTTGGGGTCTCTTCTTCATCATGTCTCACGTTATCAAGGCAAAGACAGAACAGCAAGGTAACAATGTTTTTATCGAGACTGATTTTGGGAATGAAAAACAGATTAATACATCTTCGATTTGCCTTAGTTGTAAATAATCCGAGAGCTTGAATGTAGGTCAGCAGTGTGAAATTCACAAGATGGGATTATGTTGGAGAGAGAGCGAGAGGAGAAAAAAAATTCTGAGCCGCTGATTGTACAAAAGTTAGTGTTTGAAGGGTTTATTAAGGCTTTTCCCTAGCACAGTGCCCTGTAGTGTCTCAGATCACCTGTCAAATACTAATTCATTCACATCTCTCCGCGGCGGGGCCTTTTCATAAAAAGCTCGACCTTTAATTGTAAATCACTTTTAAATTGTCTCTGCTGGCTTTCTCTTTCACAGGAGGATGGAAAAACCACTAAGACTTCAATTAAGACTTTATGGGAACTTCACCCCGACTCTTCGCGCGCCCCCCCCCCCCCCCCCGTCTGTATCTATAAGATATCAGAATATCTACTCAAAAAGGAAACGGTAAGAAACTTTGACATAGCTGAATAGGCTTTGCTTTAATAGATTTAAAGATACTTTAACTAAGTGAGAATTAAAATAACTTCGGTAAAAAAAAAAAAAAAACCCTGAAAATATTGTTAGCTGATTATTTGTCATGTAGATCATGTGCTTATTAGGCCTAATTAAACTTTTTCAGCAAAAAGGCTTTACTAATTACATTAGTGAATATGTTGATTGCTCAATTTGGCTTAAAAAAAAACTGTCAATCCAATTTGTGCCTAGTTAGTGCTGTCGTCAAAAGACAAAATCCTAAGCTCCAGAGGTTATTTCAAGTGCAGGACTATTGTTGCAGCAAATGTGGGTTCTGTCCCCACATCCAAAGTGACTGGGAGAGGGAGAGGTGGCTGATGAATCTGAACAAATCTGCACTAAGTAGACAAATCTTCAAACCAGTAAAATGTCACCACAACAGCCAGCTTATTTGCCTCCACGCATTCACTAGCATTTGTCCAATTAAGACCCTGCCGGTGACAATTCAAAGGTATCTTTCATATGCACATACAAACTAACACTGATAGCAAAACCCTGGGAGGCCCTTGGAATGTCAATACAGGGCTTTTACGCACAAAAGGAAGAAAAGAAAAGAGGAAAGGGGAAGGGGGGGGGCGGGGAAGAGATGGGAAAAACCAATATTTCTGAAGAACTCGAGCAGATCAAAGGCATTTTATTCTCAAAGACCACGAATGCCCGGGTGTAACTATCTCACTATTGCAGAATGCTGAAAAGACTCTCTTCAAACCGGCCACCGGTTCCATCTCTCCAAGGAGAGGGGAGAACAATTAGGTCTGCAAAATCCCCACACAGCGAGTGCAAAAATGGAGGGTTCGCCATGCAACAGGAGGCCCAGCCCCTGCAGACCAGGAGGCCTTCCCGGGCCTCAGTGCCCACCCAGCGCTCCGAGACATGTTTTCTTCTGGATTGCTCAAAAGTCTGCATCCGCAGTCATGAGGCACAAACTATTCGACAACAACATGACACAATTAATCAGAACCAGACCTCCAAACGTGTGTGCGTGGGGACCAGCGAACTTTGCAATGTGCTTCAGAGGGTGAAGCAACCGAAGAGACTCACACTGGCTGTTCGGGAAGGGGGAGGAGGGGGGGAGAGAGGCAAAGGAAAAATCTATACGTTCACAAAAGATGCACACCAAATGGCCCTTTACAACCTAAATCATTTTCCTTAAAATATAATGAAATCTACATCTCATACTGGAAGAGTCATGTCTTACTACCTGCCCCCTCCTCCCACCGCCCCCAGAAATCGTCCGAGTTTCTATAGCAACAAAGTTGCAAAATTCAGAAATAGAATATAACCCCTCCCCCCTTTAGTCTCATTTCTAACAAAATCTATTCGCCAGCGCGACGGTTTTGTCAGTTTTCTCTTTCAGGAACTGAAACCCCATTAAAAAGTGAGAATCTGGATCCTTCGTTAATTCAAAACTATTTAATTTCACCCGATTCTGACACTAACACATCTGTTGTGCTCCCTTTTTTTTTGGAACCAGAATTGAATTAGTTTAAAATAATTAATGAACTCTCCTTTGTAATCTGTAGATAAGTAATTAACTTCCATCACATCATCATTTTGCTAACACAAGCATGCTGTCCAAAAGAGGAGGAAAAAAATTCAAACCATAAAACATAAATGGAGGGCGCAGGAATGGATATTCGCCGGGTACTGAACTGGCCCCACACTGCAAATAAACCCCTCTGCCATCTCCCCAGGGGATTTATGGTTGTGGGGCTGGAACCCCCAGGGAACCAGGCCAGCGGGCGGGATCCCCCACTGCGCCCAGTTTCAGCCCTAAGACAGGACGGTCCCCCCAGCTGAGGGGAAGGCAATGCATGTTTGCATGTGGATCCCAGGTTAGAGGAACATTTTCTGCAAAACGCTCCCTCTCCCTGCAACATTTCCCGTGCTTCTTGGCTTTGCAGAGCGCACCGGTCGGTCGCAAACCGGAGAGAGTCCAGGGCCAGCGCCACGGGGAGCGCGCGGTCCTGAGCTCTGCCCTCCGGCTTCACCGCATCCCGTATCCCGGAACGCACCTCCCTCCATCCTGGGCGGCACCACCGCAGCGGAGGATCCTCCGTGCAGCCGCGGCGCCCCGGGGTGCGAGGCCCCCCGAACAGCCGCCCCGCGCCCCCGCCCGTCCCCCCCCACCCCCTGCCGCCCGCATCCCGCACCCCCCAGCCACGCGGCGCCGCACTCACCCACGCACTCGTTGGCCTCGCGGGCCGTGGCGCGCTGCCAGGGCCGGTCGTAGTGGAAGGGCTTGCAGCGGTCGCACTCGGGCCCCGCCGTGTGGTGCCGGCAGTCGCACACCAGGCCGCCGTCGTCGCGGTCGCGCACGCAGCGGGCCGCGTGGCCGTTGCACTTGCAGCGGCCGCCCACCTGCAGGTCGGACACGGCGTAGAAGTACGAGTCGCGCGCCAGCTCCGGGTCGTCCTCGTTCTCGTCGCCGAACGTGTGCAGGCGGCTGAAGGCCACGCGGATGTCGGTGGCCGTGACCCAGTCCTGCAGCACCGGCGAGTTGTCGAAGTCGTGCGCCGAGGGCCGCCCGTCCAGCGTGCTGAAGGCGATGAGGCCGCCCTGCAGCGGCCGCATGTCGGTGTGCGAGTCGGTGCACACGGCCTCCTGCTCGTTCTGCTTGGCGATGGGCGCGCGCGGCGGCCGGTTATACATCCGGCGGCACTGCGTGGAGTAGAACTGGAAGGGCACCCACGTGCGCCCGTAGTCCATGGACTTGAAGATGGCCATGGACTCGGGCCGCGGCGAGCAGAACTGCAGGCTCACGTAGGTCACCTCGAACTTCTTGCCCAGCGACAGCGTGAGCGTGACGTTGTGCGGGAACTGCGGGTAGGTCTCGGACTGCCAGCACGTGAGGTTGTGCGGGTTGTGGAGGTCGGTGAGGAAGGCGGGCGGGTGAGCCCTGCGCGGGTCGGACGCGTTGCAGAGGTGGCAGGCGCGCAGCCGCTCCTCGCCGCGCTCGCTCAGCACGCAGTAGCGCGCGGGCGGCCGGCCGCAGGTGCTGGACACGCGCACCTCCTTGCCGAAGGCGGCGTTCACGAAGTCCGGGATGCAGCGGCGCGGGTGGCCGTGCTCGTCCGAGCAGGGGTCGGGCGGCGCCGCCTGGCCCGCGAACGCGCTGAGCCCCGGCCCGGGCCCGCCGCGCGCCGCGCCCGCCAGGCACGCCACGGCCGCCAGCGCCGCCAGCGCCCCCCACGCGGCGCGCATCATGCCGCGGCCAGCCTGCCCGGCCCCGCCGCCGGAGAGGGTCCGCCCGCCGCCGGAGAGGGTCCGCCCGCCGCGCCGCGCCGAGGAGCCGGTCCGCCCGCCGCCGAAGGCGCCTGCGGAGAGAGGGGAGCTGCGCTCAGCCTGCCCGCCCGCGCCCTCTACCCACCCAGCGCGGGGCGGAGAGCCGGGGTGCGGACTAACGCCCCCCGGCTTCCCCGGCACCCACCCCGCCGCGGCAGACCGCCCGCCTCGCAGAGGAAGGCGAGTCCGGGTTTGAGGGACCCCCCGCCCCAAGCCAGCATCGCCCGCGCTTCTCCCCCGCCCAGCGGCGCAGCGGGGCCGCGGGCAAAAGCCAGGCTTCCCGGCCGCCGCCTCCACGCCGCCCGAGGGGCATGCCCGCGCCCGCCTGCCCGCTCGCAGCCAGCCTGCCCGCCGAACACCCCAAAAGTCTTGGGCGCAGGAGAGCGCGGGGAAGGGGGGCCCCAGCCCCGCAGGACCCGCGCGCTCCTTCCTTCCTCCCGCAGTCCAGGGGGCCCCCTCCGCTGCCCCGGATCGCGTCCCCGCCGCCGGAGACTCCGCGTTCGGGACGTTACCTCTGGAACGGGCAAAAGAGAAAGGAAAGTTTGCCGGGCACCGGCCGGGAGCCCGCACGCCGGGCCGCGAGAGGCTCCTCTCCCTCGCCGCTGGCGGGCGCGTCCTGCCTCAGCGCGGGCTGCCCAGCTCCATGCCCGGCGCGGCCGCCGCCGCCGCCGCTCCCGTTCGGGTGAAGCCGCGGCCGCCGCTGCCGCTGCCGCTGCCGCCGCCGACCGAGTGCCGCCCAGCCCGCGCCCGGCGCGCACTCCGCTGCCGGCGAGCACTCACCGCCGCACGCGCGCCTCCGGGGGCTCCGCAGCGGCCGCCGCTGCGCGGGGAGCGGGGAGCGGGGGGCGGAGGGGGCGGAGGGGAGCGGCGGGGGGAGCGGGGGGCGGAGGGGGCGGGGGGCGGAGCCGCCGGGCGGGGCGCCGGCCAATAACGAAGCCGGGCGGCCGCCCGCTCGGGAGCAAAGTTTTCGCCCCGGGAAAGAAGAAAGTTCAAGGGAACCGGCCGGGGTCGCGGAGGGAGCGAGAGCGCCCGCGGGTGGGAGCCGGAGAGTCCGAGGAAGGAAAGCGGAGACAAAGAGAAAGCTAGAGGAGCGCCCGGGGAAACCCCGGGGAGGAGCGGAGCGGAGGGGAGGGGGGCCCGGGCCGGCGCGCGCCCCGCGGAGGGAGGGAGGAGGGGCCGGCGTGGGACGCGGGCTGTCAGCCCCGCTCCGGCCCGCGCTGGCCGCCCCGGGAGCCTCGCAGGTTTCCGCCAGCCCCTCTCCTCCTCCTCCTCCTCCTCCTCCTCCTCCTCCTCCTCCTCGGCGGGCGGGGTGGGGGAGGGGACGGTCCTCTCCCTCCAGGTCCCATCCACACACATCTGTGTTTGCTTTCTTGGCTGCGCCGCCGCCCGCGGAGGTCGAGCCTTCCTCTCACCCAGCCTGATGGCCATGGTGGCACCGCGTACAGCTCCGTGCCCCTGCGGGCAAACAGCCTGGGGTCATGAGGAAGAGGAGGGTGTGACCTCTGCCTGCTCACCCCTCCTGCCCGAAGCCCCCCTCCCCCGGGTCTGGCGAGAGGTCCTGCCCCTGTGCACCAGCCCCCCCCCCCCCACACACACACACACACACGCACACACGCACTTCCTCCCAAGGACACACAGTTGTCACGGTGAGGTTGGGCCTATCGGTCAGGCACCGGGCTTCTTTCATGCCCGCGGAGCCAGGGTGGGCAGTAGACTGAAGGGGAAAGAAGCAGGACAGCACCCGGGCACGGGCCAGCGGCCCTCTAGCCAGGTCTGCGGAGTCTCAGGCTGGGGCGAGCCAGCCCGCCCAGGCCCCCTGAGGCAGGCTTACAGGACTCCGGGCTGGGGTTCTGAAGGATGCCATCCCCTGTTCTAGCTCATGGGAGCCCGCAGCAGCTTTGCAAAGCAGGCGTGAATTCCTTTTTGCAAATGAAGACACCTAGGTCTCCGGAGGTGAGGAAACTTGCCCAGCTCTCCCAACTGGTAAACATCAAATTCTTCCTCTCCTCACGTTTGTCAAGTGGATATTCCCACCCAGTTGTAGTCTCACGGGGCCTTCTCAGGGCTGCCCAGCCTCTCCTTACCTCATTGTCTGTCTTAACGACAGGACTGAGGACAGTGGCAGCATCTGACAGTCTCCTTTGACCCTTGCAGCAGCCACCAAGAGCTCTGGGGACAGAATGCTCAGGGCTGGGAGTCTGGGACTCCATTTCTGTTGCTTTTATGTCACAAGTAATAGAACTGGATGGAAAGCCCAGGGTCCTGCTTCTGGCCCAGCAGCTGACTTGCTGCGGGAGCTCCATTAAGTGCCTCACTTTGTCGTATTGGCTTTTTCCTAAACTCCAAGACTCTAAGAAGAGGCCTCAGGCTCGCCTGGCCCAGCTTGGTCTCGGAAGAACAGCTTTCCCTGAGAGACAGCTCCCAAGCCAGCTCTTCCCGGCCTGGGATGTCACCCAGCCCAAGGAGCGACATGCGGTCCTTTTCAGGACAGCCCGGGCCCACCCTCTTTCTGGGGTGACCCATGAACTTTGCCTTCTTGTTCCACTGCCACTGGGCACCGGTTACTTATGCCTGATCTATGGCTGAGAGGATTTCAGGTGACTTACAGAGGAACTTAAACATGGAGACAGAGCATCAATTAGACAGGGATTGGAGAATGAGATGTCTAACCACATGGACTGACACATCCCAATGGCACGTTAGGCAGCACAGCGGTTAGGAGCGAGGGTGCCGCTGGCAAGTTTTGCAACTTTCTGCCCCTTATTTTTCTCATTTTCAAAAGGGGGTACAACATTGTCTACCTCACAGAGTTGTGAGCATCAAAGGAGCTAACATGAATATTATAGCTTATAAAATGTATACATGCTGTATTTATATAATCTATATGAATAGACTCACATATAGGTACATGTACATATACATAAAACCAGGCACATAATAAGTAAGTGAGTGTAAAAATGTTAGTTCTTACTATTAAATTGCTAAATCCTTATGGGAACTTAAAGCTGATAAGTAAATTTAATTTAAAAATTATAAAATGAAAAAAAAGCAAATTACAAAACACTATAGTCCAAAGCACGCTGCACAGTATACTATCAGTTGTTTGTTTGTTTTTAATATGCATACAAAGACAGTTAATTGTGGTTAACACTGGATAGTGAGATTAGAGGTGATTTTTATTTACGCTTGCTTGTATATTCTCGATTTTGTGGAGTAAAATAAGAGGGAAAGCTAAGAGGAAAAAAATAAAAGCCAAGAGGAAGGACCAAGTAGAGATGGGGAGAGAGCTAAAGTGCACCCTGAATGCCTGTTCACCTCCTCTGGGTGAGCCACAAATTTATCCCTAAGCTCCCCACACCCCCACACACACCCCTCCACCCTCAAACAGCCAAAGTGAAAAGGAGACCATGTCAGTTACACAGTTCCCCGTGTCCCAGGGATAAAAACAGACCTATTACTCACGAGAATTACAACTAACTATTCTTGGTACTAAAATCAGACAGGAATTTCTCCTGGAGGGGAGGGCCCCTACACAGAACCCGGTGTAAGGTGACAGCAAACACCCTCATCAACATCCTGCTCAGTCACAGCAGTGAGCTCAGAGGGGCAGTTTTTTGTTGGTGGCCCACCGCGTAAGCTGTTGACAGCGCTCCAAAACACAGGAAAAGACCCTGACAAGGAGGGGACTGAGAGAGGCAAATCAGAGTGCCCCGCTCCCCACCCAGCCCGCTCGGTCACCCAGGCCCCTCCCAGCCTTCCTTCTGCTGCTCTGTCCGCAGAGCTGCGGGCGGCCCTTCGGCAGGTTCGGCTGTACTCCTGGACTGCAGCTGCAGGGGGCCTCTGAGCCTAGGCAGCGGCCTTCTGGGGGGCCTTGGGAGGAAGCTTTCCACTTTGCTTGTGGTCACATAGGCCTACGCTATCTTTAGTGGTTCCAGGTGAGCCGGACTCTCTCACCTTGTGCCTTGAAGGCCTGGAACATTCTGGGACACAGTAGAGCCTGTCTACGCCAAATTCAAACCCACCTACCTCCCTGTCGCTGGTTCAGTTGGTCCAATTCCAACTCCACCATTCTGCCTCTTCAAATGTTTGACATCAACCCTCCATCATCTTTCAGTTTGATGTCTTCTAGGCCAGTGGTCTGCAAACTCATTAGTCAACAGAGCCAAATGTCAACAGTACAACGATTGACATTTTTTAAACTTAAACTTCCTCTAATGCCACCTCTTCAAAATAGACTCGCCCAGGCCATGGTATTTTGTGGAAGAGCCACACTCCAGGGGCCAAAGAGCCGCATGTGGCTCGAGAGCCGCAGTTTGCTGACCACGGTTCTAGGCTAAATGTTTCCCGGTTCTTTCAAAGATTTCGGCCAGGACATTGTTTTCTGACTGCTCTGCAGACTCGCCCATTGCCCTCTCATTTGTCAATGTCCGTTCTGAAAGCATACTACCTTTTGAGGGGACAAATGAAAAAAGCAGATGTCCAAGTGTCGTGAGAGCTCCTCAAAGTGGGGGTTATAAATACACGGCCCGAAAGGCTGTCAGGCCAGGCGCTAAGCAGCAGGATCCCTGGTTCAGGCTGGAGTTCAAAACACAACAATGGCTGCTGGGTGAGAAAGCAGATTCCCAGGTGTTTCTGCAAGGAATGTGTCTGGAGCGGGAGCTGCCTGTTCTTGGAACCCAGCCTCACCTGAAGCCCAGGGTCCCCCAGAAGAGAGGAATGTGGCAGTTTCGAGAAAACTTACAAGGAGCCAACATAGAAGGAGGAAAAACAGGAGAGTCCAGGAGAGTCGGGTGTCCTAGAAACCAGCAGGCAAGTTCGGGGAAGCAGTGACCTGAGCGTATCGCATGCTTTCAAGGTCGAGATAAGATCTGAAAGGAGTCCTTTGGATTAAACTACAAGGAAGCCATTGGTGACCTTGACCAGCAGCGGCCTGCCCGGCCCGGCCTGCCCGAGGAGTGGTAAGGACAGAAGCCAGACTGCCTCGGGGCACGGAGTGAATGGGAGGTGAGAAAGTGGAAGATAGTGAGTGTAGACACCTCTCGAGAAGTGTGAAAACAAGTGGCAGGAAAAAGAGATGGTGATAGCAGGAAGCTGATAGGGGATTGAGGGGACTTGGGGATTTTTTACTGTTGTTTATAAGATAAGGCTACTTAAACAGGCCTCGATGTGGATCCTAAGGAGGCCCAGGAGACAGGTTGAAGACAGATAAAACCGGCCTTGTAAAATGTGTGGTCAGGTGGTCTGGGAGCTGCTCGTGTTACAGTGGAATAGGAAGTGGCACCACCTGCGGAGAGTGAGGGAGCAGGTGGGCGCAGGGGCGGTTTCAGAATCGGGGAGAAGGCTGGGGGGGTCATTACAGAAAAGAGGATAATGTGTGCTGGCAGATAAAGGTCCCATTGAAGTGGGTGACTATCTAGGAGAAAGAATGCAAGCCAGCAAAGTCGCCGGGCTCCCCTCCCCCCAGCAGTGCTCAGCAGCCTCTGTGTGGACTTAGGAAAAGCAGAGCAGTTGAGTTAACCTCCAGTTGAGGATTTGTTCCAGGAGGTGGGACAACAGGGAAGCGGCTGGCTGATGGGATGGACCAGGAGGCAAAGCCAAAGAGAGAAGGAAGTGAGGACAGGAGAGGATAGAAGAGGAAAGAGAGAG